GGAAGTTTTTGGGCTTGACACATTCCTAAAGGGGGAGGAGTAGAGATAAAGAGATTGTTATGGCTAGGTGATCTTCTTTCCCGTGGGAAACGAGCTGTCCGTGCTTGGGCCCCTGGAGGTGGAGATTTATGACATCAAGCAACGTTGAATTATTTCTATTGGAGAAGGTGACTTTTGGGGGTTGTTTCTAATTTCTAATATTGTGGGGTAATTCCGGGTTGGGTCAGATCGGAATTTCCATGGACTTTGCCAATTTGATGCTTTCCTAAATAAAAGAAATATTTTTGAAAGATGGACTTTGTACTACTTTTCTTTTTAAATGGATTTCATCACTTGGAACCCTGACCGCCTGTAATTGGAAAACCTATGGCACGCATGCCAGAGTTGGCATGCAGAGCCCTTTCTCTGGGCATACAAGCTGTCACCCCAGTTCAGCGCCATTGCACATGCATGCATGCGCCTCCCGCCGGCCAGCTGGTCTCACCAGCCAGCTGGTCTTCGGGTCTCTGTAGTGCATGTGAAGGGGGCGAGAGCGGGCGGGGTCGTGTGCATCGGGTGCACACACAGGAGTCATGCACACATGTGGGGGTGGGGCGTGTGTGCAGGGGGACATGCAGGTATGCACAAGGGTCACGCATGCATGCACAGGGGTCACTGCATGCGGGTGGTGCAGTGAGAATATTCTCTTTTTGTATAAAAAGTTTTTATTTTTTAAGACAAACATATACAAACAAAACATAAAAACATAAAACCATCTTCCATTTTATATACATACAGTGTGTCAGTTGGTTACAAATCTTTTGTGCTATCCTTTCATAGTCATTGCTCAGTTTATATAAATTCTCACATTGTCAAACTAACATATGCTTATATATTTATCAGTTATTAATCATCCATGACTAAATTATTTATTCTATCATTTTATACGAGATATCCCAAATTTTATTTTAAAATTTATATTGTACTTTCATCCAATGGTTATATATGTCTACTTTATATTTTATATCAATCTGTTAAACTTCTATAACAAAATTATCTAATCTATTACATTACCATGTCTTTTTGTCTAACCATTGATAAAACAAATCCCATATCATACATATAAAATTGTTTATCTTCTTGTTCTCTAATTTCAAATGTCAATTTACTCATTTCAGCACAGTCCATAATTTTCTTAATAACTTCCCAGTGAGAATATTCTTGTATCATCAGAAACTATCTTCCTTTCCAACCCATCCAGAAAGTTCTTTCTGGCCTCAGAATATCAGAAAGATGGAAAAAGAAGCATCTACGGGTTGCAAAATGCCATGGATCTTCTGAACTCAAAAGCATCCTGAATCTGTAACCTATACCTATTTTGGTAAATCCCTCTCTACTTCCTCACTTCTGCTCTCAACCTGAACCCAGGAGTGTCTTGAGTTTCCAATGGCTATGATATCAAAATCTTCGGATCAGGTAGGATTGATCTGATCAAAATGACAGTGAAAAGGGATGTATTACTATCTTGGTGCTATAAGACAAATCAGTCTGTTCAAATTGTACATTTACTCATAGCTGAATAGCACGCTGTCTATCAAATCTACTCCAGCAATGTTTCTTGATTTTGCCCCCACGTTTATTTATTCACTAGGCAGATACCTGAAAGCACATGGGAACAAATAAGAAATTGAGAAGTAAAAGAATTAAAGAAACATGTCTATAGGGCAAATATAATGAGTAATGTAATGTAGATCATGTTACCTTCTGTAAAGTAGCTTGTTACCACTTCCTTTTTTACTGTTGTGATTTTAAAAAATCCCCTTGGAAACATACAAAGAGGTCAAACAAGTTTTTTTATTGTTGCTTTCAGAAAGACGGCTAGTGAAGCCAAACAACAAAGCACTACAGTTATATTTCAGGTAACTACACTAAACTCAACCACATTAAAAGGTAGTGAAACTTACTGGAGGATTCAGGCAGTCTTCGAAGAAAATTTCTTGTAATGTATTTTTTTCTGCAGGAGAAGACAACTCTGAAATAGCTGTGTATCTGCTGTTTAAAGTGTAAGTAATGAACTAAATTCAACTAAAATCATCAAATTATCCTTTCTAGAAATTTTACCTTCTGGTATTATTTATAAAAAATGTTAATTAAGTGTGCATGTTTTTTCATGTTTAATTTTAAAGTGGTTTTGAAAGACAGTGAAATTAAAATATTATAAGGTGATGTGCAGTGTGACTTTATGAACATGGTATTCTCTGTTGCTTGTGTAAAACATAAAGTAATGATACACAAATGTTTTCCAAGGGTCAGCCTAACATGTTTTGTATCAAACAAGCTTGCCAAACCCTTAAGTTTATAGAAGTGCAAGAAATCTATAGAAAGAAAAGAACCTTTCAGGTTTTATGTAATAGAACTTACTGTTTATGGGACTGTAAGCTATTGGTTTACATTCAGTAAACTGAAACAATCCAAGCTACATCATTCACACAGGGTTAGTAATCTATATACTGTAGATACAGTAACATAAAATGGGCATCACAACAGTAGTCCAGCAGTAAAACATTGGGCTGGGAATCCCAAAACTTCTTTTCCATGTCAGGAATCTTACCCACAAATTTCACAAAATGGTGATCAGAAATGTTTGCCTGATTTCACACCATTTTAATGTAGAATATTGAGAACTGTAGTGTTTAAACATGGTTAAAAATAAATGAAAATAAAAGCCGACCCAAAGGTATTATTAAATTGAAAAACACAACTTTATTCATGTGCTCCTTTGTCCCATCTACATGTCATCATTGATGAAAGTGTGTACTTCCTAAGATGTATTTAATATGGCCCTCTGGTCAAAGGCTGCCGATCCACTGATAGATATTTATAAATCTTCCTTAGAAATATTTGTGGATGATAAACTTAGGAAAATGTTGCTTTGAGGTATTTTATAACCAAGAACTTACCAAGATTGGTGGAGATGGCAAAATTAACTGCATTAATTAGGGATTTTTTTAAAAAATTGCTGGAAAACCACTTTAGCTCAAAAGAGAAAAAAATAAAACTTTGATTTTTAGTTTTGATGATTAAATAGGTCATGATTGTAGAAATGGATAGTATTTGTTGTATAAGATTTTTTATAAAGTTGATATTATGACTATATTACCAAAAGAAGTTGGAAGTCACTGCTTTTTGTTTTCTTCTTTTCTTTATTTTTCCTCACTTTATCTACATTTCCCCTTTCCTTCACCTCCTTTCCTCTTCCCCTATATTTTCGTTGTCTTTATTTATGTTTGTATTTTATATTAAGAAAAAAAATTAGTAAAAAATATTTTTAAAAAAGCAGGTCCCCAAGAAATGTGAAAAGTTATGTGATTTTTTTTTTCAAAAGAATATTTATTCAATATTTATTTGTTCAATTTCCATGGATGTCCATCTCAGACAATGAATCTTATAATATTAATTTCCATATAATACTGTTCCCCTTGATTTCTGGAGAGTAATTTCATAGTAGACAATTACAAATTATTAATTTTAAATATATTTACTGGATTTATATTCTACTACAATTGATGCCATCTTTTAGTAACTTACATACTCTATTTTGAACATTAAAATTAAAAATTATGTAATATCAATAACTATTCAACATTCACCTAGGGGTGGGATTCTACCAGTATGGATCGGTTCTATAGAACCAGTTGTTATGATTCTGTGCAGTTTGGAGAACTGGCAAATCATGCCACTGGCTGGCCCCGCCCCACCCCACCCCTGGCATGCATGCCATCCAACTTGCCTGCATTGTACCTTCGCCTAATTTTTGGTAAGTTGCTATTTTTCCTTTTTTTCCCCAACGATCAGCTGTTCCGACTATCAGACTATTTGCATAGTTTTTATTACCTATTTTCAAATAGACATAAAAATGGACAATCACCAAAAATAAAGGGGAAAAACACACAAATAAACTCAAATTAAAAAATATCTAATTACATCTATATCAAGTTCATCTGATTTTTTTAAAGTCTTTAAAAGGGAAAATTGAACCTGGAACAGCTTTAGAAGAGACAACCAGTACTCAAAGCAAACTGGTTCTTAATCTAAATTTTGAAGTACAGATGTTACAGCAGCAATCATGAAGCCTAATCACTATTCTGGAGCAACTCCAGCTTCAGAAAGAATTTCAAGCGTAACTCACGTAGAGCACATTGTAGTCTAAGTAGAGCACATTGTAGTCTAAGTGAGAGACAACCAAGGCATGTGTGAATGAGGAGATGGTTCCCCCAATCCAGAAAAGCTCATAATTATTCCTGCAGATGAAATTTTACAAGGGTGTTTTTGCTACAACTGCCAGATGAGATTCACTTAAGAACCTCAAGTTATTTTTTGACATATAATTATTATTAAATCAATTTTAAGAGTATAAAAACAATATACATTTTGTATAAAAATTTAAAGTTTAAAAGTAAATAAAAAGTGCAAAAAAAAAAGAAATAGAGAAGAAAAGCAAAGAAAAAGGTATAAAGAAGCTGCTTCTGATTTTCTTAACGGCAGCTAAGTGTATTTATACTTTATCTTCTGTCTCTGAAGTTACAACGTAACTATATAGTCAATTCCTTTCTAGTCATCAAACACATAAATCACAAGTTCATTTTTTCCAGCAAAAAATCCACAAGGAGTTTCTAATAACTAATAAATAGGGTTATTGTCCTTTCTTTAATCAGACAAGTCAATTTTGCCTTCTTTGTTAATTCTGTCATCTTCACCAGTTTTTCTTTCATTGTGGATATTTCAGAGCCTTTCAATTTTTGTGGATATAATATTTTGCAGCAGGAATCCCAAGTTATAAACAGTTTGTCACAGAAGGAATCATGCTTAATCTTATCCAGAATTATAAATACCATAACAACAATTGCAAAGAGCTATTCATGGAAAATTATTAAGCATTATGAAAAAATGTATACTTTTAACATAACTGATGCAGTTATTTTATGCAGTTGAAAACATTATTCTTTTTTCTGTCCTATGCTTAATTATCCAGAATGGAAAATACAGACAGTGGATCTTCTCTGGACATGGATGAAGTAATTAACATGAATGAACAGTGCCTTGTATTTAAGGAGACTGAACTTTGGAAAGAAAATGTGGATTTAATAGAAAAGAGCAACCTGGGAAATACCGTGTCCTTTTCCTATGAAATATCAGCCCCAACCAACATAGGGATAAAATTGGGCCCTGGTAGCCTCACCAGGAGGCGGGATTTGACTGGTAAGTTGCATCTACTGAATGTGGAGCATGATGGTGCTGACAATCCTCCATATCTATTTGATAGGCATGCTCCAAGTAGGATTTCTACTTCTCCAACCTTGAGGAGGCTAAGAAAAAATACCTCATCAGTTTCTCAAATAGCTTCACTCCAGGACAATGTTGAGAACGTAAGAATAGACGAACAGATGCCACAAATCGACATTTTTCTTTCTATGCATCCAGAACTTCCTTCTCGCCCTAAACATTGTTCTTTCCCGTCAACCTCTGGCGTTTATTCAAATACAGTGACACAAGTACAACACTCTACATCAGTTAACCCCACAATGAATCTACTAGATAACAATGGTGATTTCAGTGATACTCAAACAGTACAGAACAGTAGAGAGAACAACCCTTCTCTAGAATGTGAAGGAAAGAATTCTCAGCAATATAGCCAGGTAAGTAATACAATTTAAAACAAAAACAAAAACAAATTCTCTTCTCTGAATTGGCATACATTAAAACTGTTCGACTGAGAGTCTCATATAATAAATCATGTCATTATTATTCTTAGATTTACAAGAAATTTAGCACTGTTTGACAGCTGGATTGTAAAAATAAACATTTCCAAGAATTTAGGAATTTAGAATGTCATATTCATTTTCTGACATAGTTGTTCAAAGCAGGAAGCAGAAATCCAATCAAACATTTGTCATGCAGTATGGTTTATTAAATGGCCTGAATTCCAAAGATGTCAAATGCCATCTAAACCTGAGTTAAGTGGGAAAATTATAGGGAAGTTTTGATTCCATCATGAAACATCCATGAACTGAACAGTCCTATGATTATGGAAAAATATTTTGTAATGCCATTATCAGTTTCCTCAGCCTTGCTACTTATTAGTCAAAAATGACCAGAATTATTTTCTCCAATTGGTTCTAATGAAAGAGAAATTATTATGCTATCTGTGTTTTGATGTATTCTGTAATGCAAGCTGTGGCCCTTAAATATGTCCCTGGAAAACCTCATTTTCTTTCTTGGTGGTGGTGGAGTTAATGCCCTTCACACTTATTATATATAAATGAATAGACATTTTTCTCTAATTGTGAATATGCTATCACACAGGCACTATTTACCAGTGCAACTCAATATTTATTCAATGCACTCCAATTAAGAGTAAGATGGCAGCTTACTCTTAATTGGAGTATACTGTTGCTTGAACATAATGATGGTCTTCCATTGTGCTTGTGAGCCTCTTGAATCCAACTACTAGCTGGTTACGGAATTGTGGACTAAATATGTTCCTGGCCTGATTTTTAGGCCTTAGATGATCAACATTACATTTTAGTTCTGAAATTCCATTTTTCATGTGAAGCACAGCCATTAGTTATTATAACTAACACTCAATGCCTTATTTTCTCAGGCCTTGGATTTACATAAATCTAGTAGGTATGTATACTCTTGCTATTTTAACATCAACATAATATTCCCATGTTGTTTCATGTTGAGAAGTAAGAATGATATATTCACTGCATCTAAAATCATTTATGTTTAAATATAAGTGGCCACGTTTTAAATATTCCACTACTGAGTTGTTTAAACTTGCTCTATTAACAACAGGTACTTCATGTTTGCATATTAGTTCAGACATGCCCAGCTATATTTGTCTTTTCATTTTCATTTTGTAGAAGTAGCTGCACAACTGCTTGAAATTGCTAACAGAGTTAAAACATCCCAAAGCAAAAAAAAACCTACTGTAATATATATTTCTGCAAGTTTTTTTTTAACCCTTGACTTACCAAATTGAAAATACACCTACAATTCAGATGACCTTTTCTCAACCTAATGCCTTTTGGATGTATTGGATTTCAGGTCTCTTAATCCCTAAACAGATGGTCAATATTGAGGAAGACTATTATTGCTATTCTACACAAGGCATTACACGAAGTCCATGTTGCTACAGATGCATCAAACATAGTTTGATTCCTAAAATGTAAGATAATTTTAAGGAACATTAAGGCCATCAAAGATTAATCAACTATGTTCACTTATTTTACCTATTAATGATAGAAGAACAAATAGATATTTCACAGTAGATTAACAATTGTTCAGTTATTTGATGTTTGCAAGTATAACTGTCTTGAAAAATAAAATTACTAATTCTATTTACATTGCTAGGATCTATTCCTTGCTTTCAGAATATCCTAATATCTCCTCCCTTCCCTCTTTTGTTACATGTAGATAATATTGTTCAATTTTATAGCCTTTTTTGTATAAAAATATTACAACCAGGTTTATCCCTTTAGGAAGGATGAGTTTGTTGTCACAGGGATCAGATTACACATGGCAGCAAACTGTTCAGGTTTTCTTTTTACGTTATGATTGTTCTATTCTACTCTAAATATTTGATGGAACTTTTATCCTAAAGAGAGAATATAACTTGACTTCTTTGAATAAAACCAGCACTGAATTTGAGCAGGAAAGAAGTTTTCATTGGCTAATCTGATTTGGGTGATTACTTCTTTGGCCTGATCTTTCAGAACAGAGTTAGGGAGAATCATGCTGTCTGGAATCAAAGGACATGATAACTTTCTCAGATTTTGTGCAGAACAAATTAAAATATGCAAACTATACGGACTGTACCCTTTCTGTTGTACTAGATTTATCAAACTCTTTGATTGATTGATTCAATGATTTCTGGTAAAACCTAGGAGAGAAAACTATAATAAAACATGTTATGTAGATTCTCAATTTTGAATTTATCATAACCTGTTTGACAGTGGTGGGATTCAAATAATTTAACAACCGGTTCTCTGCCTTAATGACTGGCTGGGTAGGTCTGGCTGCGTGGACATGTGACTGGGTGGGCATGGCCAACTTGACATCACTCATCACACCCAGCCCCACCTCTGCCCGTTTTTCAGCCCGTTTTGAAGTCCACAAGTCTTAAAGTTGCCAAGGTTGGATACCCCTGAGCTAAATGTTCTGATAGATCAGTGTTTTTCAAATTTTGCAACTTTTAAGATGTGTAGACATCAACTTCCAGAATGCTGGATGGGCAATTATGGAAGTCCACACGTCTTAGGATTGCAAGTTTGAAAAACCCTGTCAAATATGGACAAATTAAGATCCTTAATTTGGTCTCCTTTTTAAAAAAAATAATATATTACAGATTATCCTGAGCAGCATCTCTGTGAAGGAAGACTCTAATGGAAAAATGCTTTATGCATAAAAATATAGAAAGGCATCTAAAGACCACTAATCTCCCCACCTTCATGGACCATAATTTATGACAAGAAGTTTGCAATGATCTCAACAGAAATTTTCCTCAGCTCTGCTTTGCCTAAATATGCAATGTCTATGCTCTGTCATTGAGCTGTGATCATTCTGGCCCTAAAAATAGACACAAAATTCTCTCAAGTCACAAGAATTTTCCACCATTCTCTTTATTTATCGTATGGGACCCTAAAATGGACACAAAGTTCTCCCAATCATAAAACTGTCCTCCTCCTTCTTTATTTATATTCTGGAATAGTCAGATAATGAGGAAAAGCTGAGCAGGAGAGATACGTGGACAGACATTATTATTGATCTGATTTATCCCAGAACTGTTATTACTGGAAAAAAGGGACTTTTACACTGATACTTAAGATTCCTTTACTACCCCACCCCATTACTATGGTCTCTTGGTTTTCCTCCCTCCTTTCCTTGATTTCTTTCCAAAGAGTCTGCTTGTTGTCCAACTAAATGTGCTAGAGACAGATGTGTGTTTTAAAGCACAATCTGTTTTGCAAAGAGATGTACTGATATGAGGAAAGGCCCAAGTGGGTGGAAGGATTTTTGACCCTCTTTCAAGCTTATTTTCTCAGAATTGGTTCTAAACTGGACTAAAGTTTATTTGTACAGAAATTGTAATTGAAGCAAAGAAGGAAGCAGGGGCTTTAGAAAAACAATTTTATGGCAATTCAAGTTTTGATGAAGTTTTCTTTTCCTTATTTTTATATCTTAGCTTTAAATCAACCCAAAGACATTGCATTTGTTCAACATAATCTATATATGGGGTATGGGAACTTATATCATTTTTTTTCACAAAGCTTTTCTATAGTCCAGGTGTTACTGTGCTTAGTAGTGCAGTTTTATACTATTTCATATGCTTGTGTAATAATCCAAATTCAGAAGGGGAAATATGCTTTGGGGTGAAGGTTCACTCTGTGTTTGCCAGCAAATGTTAAAAGATTTGTACAGTGGGGCTGAAATTGTTTGATCAACATTATTTTCTCTGCGAAGGTTCATGTAGGTCAGCTACTCCACATTGTTGATTGGGTAAATGTCTATATATTGTTGTACGAGGTTTCTTGTTTGCTTCAAACTATGAATGTTGGGAGCCTTGGATAAAAATGAAGTAAAGGAGTGCACTTTCTCCCTTTGTTAATAACAACTTCTTGGAAGTAATTAAGCACCCTGTTTTTATTTTCCTTGTACACTATACAGGTTAGCTGTCCGCAGGCATAGCTCAGTGGTGGTGAGTTTGCCTGGACTTGAGATGTTCCCTGGAGACTTGTTGATATCAGACAGTGCAGCACAATTCCTATACCAATCAACATCACTGCAAAACTCAGGTCAGGGAGGGAAAACTGTGAATTGCGTTTTTAACTCAAAATAACTTCTGGGAGTTTTATACTGTTAAATGTAGCACTGCAGCAGCAGATTTGCACCATTGGCTATGAAACAACATCAGTCCCCATTAAAATGCTCTGTGCCCCACACTTTGGTGGAAAGAACATGATAAACTCTAAATGCGAATAGCAAACCATGATTTCATGTTCATATATAAACTCCCCCCTAAAAAACCCCAACAAACTCCCCCCTAAAAAACCCCAACCTGAACTGAAGACCTATTTTGTTCAGCATGCTAGGAAAATGGTTTTGTTTTAAAAAGATCCTGAATCACAAACAAACGTAGTTTAATACATTGGACAAATCAAGGTTAGTTCTCATAACAAATTAAGATATGAATGGAGTTAGATGACCCCACAACACTTAAGTCCAGTATCTATGTAGTTAGGAAGGTAAAAACAATCCCTCGTTTGCTTTATTAAAGTGCTCTTTGCAGTTAGATTCATGATGTGAATGCTATGACCAGTCAAAAGTAAGATAATTGCAAATGATTTTAAACATGAAAAACAGGACAATAAAACCAACACAAAACAAAGGAAGAGTAAAAGAGGTAGCATAATAACAAACCATGTGTAAACAAAAGAAAACAATCCAAGTTAAAAGGAGGTTTCAGTCACCCTCACTAAAGGCCTGGATGAAGAGCCAGTCTTTCAGACCTCTTTGAAACACTAGTAGTGTTGGAGTTTTCTTCCCTTTTCCTACTCTTTTTTCTTCCTTTCCTGAACACTATTGGTTGGCTGATTAGTGGAGAATAGTCTGGTGATACAAGATCCCTCTACCAGGATGTTCCTGGTGTAACATCTTGTAGGATACCAGACATGATTCCTAGAAAAATGGAGCTAGGGAGGGAGTGATTCAGTATTCTCAAAATGGCAACTTTTGACCAAGTTAGCATTGCTGTATCGTGCTAGAACATTGTAAGTTGATTTGAGTGTGTTAGCCCTCTGGAATAGTCTCCTCCCCAAAGGTGCAAATTTCTCTGACTCTGCTGTCCTTTAAATGGGCCTTGAAGCCTTGTTCTTTTCCCAAAGCCCTGGATCAACTGAGTTAACTGTGTTGTGTAAATAGGATCACAAAATCATATTTTCTACAATATATATTTTTGATTCTTTAACAATGTTCTTCTCTTTCTTCCATGCAATAGAGTCCAAAAGGACATGGTGGCCATTTGCTAAAAAAGGAATGGTGAGTATTTTGCAAATTTTGCAGATTCTCACTCTCAGTTGATACTCTATACACCGAAAACCTCATGAAATTCTGAAGGTATGCCTTCACTGCCACAATATCTGCCCTCTGGAATACTATTCCCTGAGAGGTTCATGTTTTCCTGACCCCAATGACTTTTTAATGAGCCTTGACAACATG